ACTCTTTCTAGCTAGCACATACTGATGGTTTTGCATTTTAAATCCAAAAGCCACAGCCAACAGAAAGATTCTGTGTTGGCCCAACATCAAATCAGAGCATTCTTGTCTAGAACTAAACATTTCAGCTCATCCAGTTGACACCCATGCTACATCAAAACGGAATAGAAAGGAGTGACCGAAGCCAACTGCACATACGCGGCAGTCCACATTTACCACTACAGCATTCTAAAGACATTGGTAGTATCTTGGCTGAAATTACCTCGCTGCTCTAAGGTACATAAGTAAGTCACAGTCATTGACTCCTGGCATCCACACAAGTTCCTCATGCTGTGTCACTGTGTCACCATCTGCGGAAGGAAATGGCTGCAGATCAGGAAGCTTAGCCTAGGAAGAAAGTGAAGAGTTCATACAGACATTACAGTTGTTAACAATGTTAGGAGGATGCACAAGTGTTACTAATAACAAAGTCTGTAAATTCTGTGGAATAATATAATCTCATAGATGGAAGATATTCAGACAACAGGTGGTGAAGCTGAATTGATCCAATTTTCAGAAGTTTGTAAGGAAACTGGCTCATCAAGCCCAATCTATCCACTTTATCCAGCATTCCTTCATTTAGGAGGGCAGTTCATTTTCTGACAATTATGCAGGGTTAACACCGCTTCTCAGTCCACCACCAGTGAAGCCCTTCTGTATACAGGTCAAGTGCAAGCAGGTCTGCGGAAATACCACAGCTTGAAAGTAAACCATTTTGTACTGCATATATAATCCTCCATTATACAGAAGTCAAACATTTTGGACAACTTACCCTCAGACAGTTTTCATTTGTCAAAAAGACGTTGTTACAAATCCTGCCTGCCAGGCTAAAACATACTTATATAGCATACCAATATGAAACAAGGCAAGAATGTGGCTACCGTATGTGTACCATTTTAAATCAGTAAACCCCTACTCATTTGACACTAAAAGTTTAAAATTAAGTCCTCAGTAAATCATTAAAACACCGGGAGAAACAAGGAAATTTCCTGAAAGCGAGATAGCTCAGTGAAATGAACTCTGCCACTAAATGAGTATTACATTGTATCCAGAGACCCAATTAGCATCTTTAGTCATTTACTGCTATGGGATGAGATAGCTGAGAGCCTCTTCAGAAACAGCTTTTAAGCCCTATAATTACCTCCTATACTTACAACGCTAAACGTATTCAAGAGGCAACATTTATACATAACCAGTAATTACAAGTCACAGGTTCAGATGTCTTTCATGTTCTGCTCTTTAATCTGCACTTTATTTTACTTCTTCCCTGGGAAAATGGGTATGTCATTGAACAACTCCTCCGGAAAAGGATAAGCAAGCATTATACCAAGATGAGTTTTCTACGAGAGCTATGCATTCTAGCAACTAGGGTGCTTTCACAAACTAACATTCATCCTTACGTGCCCTAGGAACGTGCTTAATTACTAGAGTTACTCCTAAGCACAACTTCCTCTTGAATACCTCTGGTCATTAATTTGTTAGCCAAAATTTTTCACAGGAGAACGTTTAGTAGAGACCCACTCTCCTCCTCCTATACATGTGAATCTTGAGATCTGCAATTCTACTAAACATTTACCTTCACTTGTGTCTCTACGTGCTATTATGGTACAAGTTGTCGTTTGAGGTATCTGCGTACTAACTATCAAAAAAAACCACAACAGTCCTCTAGCTTCTGTAACGTGCACAATGTAAGGAAAATTAAGGCAACAGGTATTCATCAGAAACCACTACTGGGACCTGAGAGTTGTTTCTGGATACGGCTACATATACCTTATTCTCAACAAGGTGGGTGGAGGAAAGTGTATCCATTCCCCGAGTTAACAAAGCCCAGTGTGTAGAGGAGACTGTGTTCACACTTTCCACAGGATGAATCAGACTACAGAATGGAAAGCAACAAATATCATCTTCAATCTGACTTCCTATCATGGCCTACAATCAACCACTCATGTATCTTAGGATTATGCCTTATACTAATCAGCAGGATGAGAATATATCCTCTTAAGCGATGACATTTGTCAGAAACATAAATGCTCAGCAAATTATTCCAAAGAATAATGGAAGTTTAAAATAGTAAGCAAGCAAAAATTAACAGTAATCTAAATCAGCGGACCTTCTTCCTACTTTTTTCTATCTATAAATGCATCTGATAATTATACCTTACAGCACAGGTGACTAATACCTGCCAAAATATTAGATGACAATTTGAGATGAAAGTTGTTTTGAAGCTATCATTTACAGTACTCTTATTATGACTAGTGAAAAAAAAAATACTACCGGTTTAATTGCCAAGAACTTTTTTCCTCTATATGCAAAACAACCTTAAGAATGCTACATAGGTTCCATAAATGTTTACTTCCACCAGTTATTAAACAAGATTTTTAAAACAGTCTGAATATTCATCACCTGGATGCAAAAATCCAGCACTCCGACAGTACAAAGTCCATTCCACAAGTAAAGGAGAGCACCGAGTTCCTAGTGACAGATCTGACCTTATAAACCAGAGTAAGCTGTGTGTTAATGCTCTTTTAGAACAGACCATTTTCGATGCTCATGAAGGAGTTCCCTCAAATTAGAACTAACATACCAGGAACATATTAACTAGAGTCTTAACCTTGCTCTGCTTCCCAGTGTTTGAACACACTCAGCATGCTTTCTCAAGTTCTATTTTAACAATCCAAATGACTTAAGCACTGGTCTTAAGAACTTACAGTTCTTATTGTTTCGCACAGTCAAACAAACAATACAATCGAGGTCTCCCTACCTTTAAAATCAAAACTTATCCTCTCTATAGCATCAGAAAGTTAAAGGAAAGCCTGCATAAAAAACTTCCTGAGAAATACAAAGAAGATACTATAATTTTAACGTGACTTCCGTAGACTAGGGACAAAAGGGATATTTCAGTCATCATCCAGAATTACAGTGCCTCCTAGTTAAAAAGTCTTTGAACTGCTTCGTGTCGAAATCACGCAGGTAAGAAGGGAGAGGACCAGCTAACCTCTGCAATGGCAGGGGAGAGGGTGTTGGTGACCGTGGCACACGGCAACACAGAAGAGGGTATTTAGAAAGAGGTCCATCCCCAACAGCTGCCAAAACTGCTCCAATTATAAATACTAACTTCATTTTTAAGACAACTGTTGAATCATAAATACACAATGCCCCCCCGACTTCTACGCTGCAGGACCGCCGTTGGCCTCACTCATTTCACACAGAAATAAGAAAACGCGCAGACCTCAAGCGTGAAGACAGGTCAGCGAGGAAGCGACACCAGGCAGCGCGTGCTCAGAAACCAACTTAAACGGGGGAGCAAGTTTACATTGAATTCTGCACTGATGACAGCTACATTAACAGACACGCTTAAAAGCACCGGATCTGTGTTAAAAGATGGACACATACATACGTCTATCTCAACACAGTTGCTGCACAGAAGAGAAACCTTTCTCGGGTTTAAAGTTCCCTGATCCTTCTAATTTTTCTTGGAAATAGTTCTTTGAAAACTGCTGTCTTTTTTAATCACTTCAATAGAACTCCATCTTGTTTAAACACACAGATTCATGAAAAGGCCTCTAAATGTTATAGGCAACATACTATCAACTTCACAATTTTACTATGCAAGTTAAAAGATCTGCTTTTGACTATAACTGGAAAACACCACCAAATTAATTTTTTGTGCTTGGTGAAAGCCAGCTGAGAATGCATTCATTTTTAACTCCAGAATGTGTCCAGCAATAGCTGGGATTTTTCCTTCATTTCCAGTAGTTACTCAGATTCCTTCCATCCTATTCTAGAATTAACCCAATAGCACTTCCGCTAGTAAAAATCATTAACATATCAACATTTGACACAGAAAAACCTCATTAACTGGGCTGAGGAATTCTAAAGAACTCATGATGAATCTAAAAAACTCATTGTATTTAAACACATACAATTTTAAATAAGTGTCCTCTGAACAGATCAAATGGCAAAAGCATGTCCTCTGGACACTAAAATAAGAACAAAAATGCTTTACCTGATGGCTGGGTCCAACTCTGATTTCACCTTGAGTACTGTTTAGCCTCCTAATACAAAAAGAAAAAAAAACACAGTAATCAGAAAAAAGTTACAATTAATGAAATTTAGAATAATATTCTGGATTTTTTTGTCATCGCGTTTCCAATGCAAATGGAAGAGAAGCAAAAATAATACATTATTAAGAAAACAAGAAAGAATATACTCTGGTGTATTACAGGCCACGCTGCAAATGGCAAAAACCAACAGGGCAATTCTGGAACTTTTAGTCAAGCAGCTGAAGTCAAGAAGAGACTCAGTGCGATCTGTCCTCACAGCAACAAGCAAGCATTGGGCAGCTGATAATGGGACACACATCTTCCTACTTTTTATGCTTAAATTCATGCAATACAGAAGTAGCACTGATTGCTAATCAAGATCCTTTAAAAGCCTCTACATATCTCTACAGCTCTGAACTGCTCTATGCTTTAGCCAGCCAACTCAAAAGCCTGGTATGCAGAGATTCATCTTCCAACCATCTGACTTCTACTAGTACTATGTTCCTTTAACTGCTTATTTCAACACCAAACCTAAAATAATGCAGACAACATGCTAAGCATTATGCTACAGATTAATATACAGGAAATACCACGTTCCTCATGAACATCTTTGTGGTCATTTTCATTTTGAAAGAGAAAACATCTTAAATAAAAATATTGGGGTATTAATCTTTGAAGAACCGAGCCTTGAATTACAAGAATTAGCAAAACTATTCCTCTTTTTCCAGGCAGACTTCATGGAAAACCAGTCAAGTTACTTTGGATCTCATATGCAAAATCATTTAGCTCTTGTTTTAGGAAGTTAAAATTATTATTGTTGCTGTTAATTTATTTGCTAAAATCACATCAGAGAGCATGACACAAAAGCATGGAAAAAATCTAAAAAGCAATAAAAACATGCCCTGCAACATTTGTAGAAGTGAATTTAATTCAATTCATCCAAAAGGGCTTTCCTTCTGCATAATATACTTGGCCCTCATATTTTTCCACTATTTTGAAAAGATATTTGCATAATAAACTTCAAGTTCCAAATGAACTGTCCTCCATGTAGTGAGAGCTACACTCTGAAGGGCTCTGTGCTGCTCACACCATGAAACATCACGTTAAATGGTAGAAGAAAAACTATTTGTTCATGTTGCAGTGGAATTACCCTGGCAACAATAGAAGTTGAAGGTATGTCAATATATACCAGAATAACACATCCGACATAACAGAATTTATTTTTCTTCCTAAATTTTGAACAAACTAACAGAGTAAATAAAACTATCACTGAAGAGTGCCCCCCTTTAACCCTTTTTTCTTTATTGGATATATTACGATATAAGCAACAAGGCACACGAACAAAACTATTTACTGGCAATACTGATTTCTCAATTTTACAGCTGAATCCATGGGAACTCTCTGCTGTAATCTTGCATACTCAGCTCTTGTCAAGAGCCGGATCACTATAGTCTACAAAAACACTTGTGCCAGAGCACAAGGGATTTGGGATACTGAACGCAGCTACAGTCTGAGAACTTAAATGACCCTCCAGTAAAACAGCATTAAAGAACACAACCAAATCCCAGGAAATTCAATATCCTTAAGATTAACATTCTTCTTTTCCTATAAATTGTTCTTATTTAAACAGACATCTTTTATTTATATGCTGCATATTACGTTAAAAGGATGACAAAATTCAGAGCTGTTATAAGACAAACTTTTGAATTTAACTCTTCAATAACTGTGACATTTAAGTAAGGCTCAACACACTAGCAAGGAAGAGCTCACACAAAAACCCTACAGATCACCATCTTTAATCTGGAAACAGCAAATTTGAATTAATCTTGCATTTGCTGTTACAGGAGTAATGACATAATTTAACAAGTAAGCTGCCACCCTGCAGTATTTCTCATTCACCCTGCTGTGTTCACAGGGATCATAAGCAATGACTGAGAAACAGTTTCCTTTAGTCTTTAAAAATGAAGATCACAACCATAAATTGCCAGCCCTGAGCTGAACTAACAATGGATAGCCCAAACCATTAAAACCTATTTGAAGTCAAAAAGGTTACTGGAGGGTTTGTTTTACATGATTGCTTGCGTGTCTTTATGAACATTTTCACCTCAATTTCAGAGCACGTAGCTTATATGTATTCAGTTAAACTTCACCTTACTGACCATTCGGAAATGTTATTTATTGGTGCACAAGCGGGTAAACGACAGCAGTGGATCTGAATGGACCTTATCCAAGACAACATGACAGGAAAACCTGTCAGACAGGAATAAACACCGGTTTTGTAATACTCAGTCTGATGTCTTGTCTTGACGCCTAAGCAATGCCACCTTCCTGGTAAGCACATCAACCCACAAAAGTCTCCTGAAAAGAATGAGAACATGTCAAAATGGTTTTCTCCAATGTATATCTTCGCAAGACATGATCTGAACACTGCTCTCTTGTTTTCAGGTTATGCAGAGAAATGACTGAACTAGAAAATCAATTTTGTATTTACAACAAAGTTATAAGTTAAATACTAGGGTGCATTTTTTTCAGCTACAAGGTGTGAGAATTTTTCCCTGTGTGGAATGAAGAGGAAAAAGATACCAGAAAATGCTGACGCTCTT